TCACACGTCCAACAACAAATTACGACAGATTGGCGTTTCACAGTTCATGTACTGCACATTAAGTTGAAAACATGCTTTTAAAGGGCTCACACACAATGCTGCACGTGAATATTGGGTTTTTCATGTGCATCTCGTGCAATTTTGTTTTGTGCACACGGGCCGATATTTTTTGCTTTTGGGAGCATTGTGTGAAACAATAGTTCATAGTATTGCATAATATATATTATACATACAAACCCACCTAGTAATAAAATATTTGGGAAAAAAAGTGATGCGTTTTCCATGGCGCTCAGTATTATGTTAACGAAGACCAGACGTTCATATAATGATGTAGGGTCAGTAGTTTTATTTAGAATCGTTCGTTAGTTCCCGGAATTTTATGTCCACGTGATATCGTAGTCATGTGATTGTGAATCCAATTGCCAAGTATAAGTTCAATAATAATAAACATAACAGAATGACATATTTCAGACAAAGAACGAATAGTAATAATAATAACAAAAGTCAAACATAATAGATGTTATACATATTTGAAATCAACAACACATACTACAGATTTTGATAATGCAATTAAATATAAATAAATTATAAATATATACATTATTTACATAAATCATTCAGTAAATGGACATAAATATGGTTATCTACCCTTATAAAAACGAAGGCGAAACGATTGGTTTGTAAACTGTTTTCTGATTGGTTCGTAGACTATAGCTACATTCTAGGCCAGGGCAGATAATTTGAAATCGTGGAAACCCTATGGATTAACTCAGGGTATAGTGGAGTAGAATGGAATGAGTACACTGGGTAACCAAGGATGCCCCTGGGCGTGCAATAATTAAAAATAAGACTTGTTTGCGATATCACCTTTGGTGGAAGCGGAGGTTAAACACTAAGAAGAACAACAACAACAACGCCAGGATGACGCTATGAGTGTGTCATTAGATTTGTTGCGTATGTGTTACGCTGTGTCATCGAGGCGTAACAAATACGCACTATAGGCCTACCTACGCCATGATACCACACGGCCATGCGAGGCAGATTAAGAGCTGATAGTATCAAAGTTGATGAGATTTTGCACTTTGATCATTCAGTGTTTTTAATATGTCAAATGTTTCAAACCATAAAAACAAATCGGGATAACACGGTTAATTAGATAATAACAGATAATAACAGTCCTTTTCATGTGCGCTCCCCATTGGTGTTTTTCAGGGAATCCATTTTTTCTGGTTTGGTGTCTCTACTTTCCATATTTATCATGAATAACTATGCTCTAAATACTTACGCGGGAATGTATCTTAAAACGCCCAGTGACAGCGGTGAAACGACATTAAACAGTTTTCACGTACATGTATTCCAATTGATCAATGTGCATGTAAGATTTAACTATCGATTGGCTGTGGTCTTATATCCACCCCAGACGCCACTTGAAGTCTTCAAGAATGTTAAGCCGAAAGTCATTGTAATCTCTAAAATTACCAGAATAAAAAAAATCCAATTAATTATGTGACTTCGGAAAATCTTTGTAAAAAATAAATGCATCCCATCTTAATTCATTTGTTATTTGGCTTTCGGCACTAATCTTGCGATCAACAAATTTCAATGGTAAGGGAGTGACGGGAATTTTAGTTGGCATTGTAAAACATTGCGTTTCTTTATAGTTTTTATGAAATATAATGCTATTTGACAAATTCTAACTAAATAACACACAGATAATACCACCCGTTCTTCAGAACGATACGAAGTTGTTTTAGATGTAGACTATTACGCCAAAAAAAGAATGAATATTTCTCCCCGCGTTGAAAGGCGATTTTCGACTCGAAATTTATAGGCCCACATGAAATGTTGGAGTATATTGTCGTCGCCATTCTTTATCCGTCCGTCCGTCCTGAATTTTGAGATATTTTTTTTTTCAAACTTGCAATATTTTAAGATATACACTGTCGAAATACAGTCGCAAATCGATTTGCTGACATTTGTCATAAAGAGAGATAACTCCTTGTACAGTTAATGGACGAAGACTAGTAATGTAGTGCGAGTTATAAATATACAATTTTTCCCTTAATTGTTTTCTCCCCTCTTCCAGCATTTTGTGGTTGACTTTTTGATCTAGAATTGGAGAAAAGGGATCAAATTTGCAATTTCATGGCTGTATGGGGTAATACTGATGATATTACAGCGGAGGGGTAGGGGGTGTAAAGTGTCTTTCTGCAGAGCAATCATTGTGCCGGAAGGAAGATTTTGACCCCAGTCAACTTCAAATCCCTGTAGCAAAAAATCTAAACAGTCAACCCCATTCAAAATTAAGATGAGTGGATTGCTAAATGTGACCCCAATTATTGTGCCTATAAAGATTGGAACCAACGGAATGTTGAGCAAAAGACTACAGCCTGCGATGTTACAGCCATTTAACATTGAAGTCAATGGGAAAATAATTGCTAGTGAGTCCTAATGTATTTCCAAATTTCCTTTTTGTTTTGTTTTCAAACTATGTGGGTTATATTACGTATAAATATCGCGCCGAAGTAATCGTAATTGACGGACCAGAAACGCGTTATTTAGTATTCCAAAAATTACTTTTTCCGAAAGATTCTATAAAAAATAAATGCCTTCCAATCTTAATTTATTTGCCTTTCGTCAGTAATCCTGCAATCAACAAATTTCCAACGGTACAACAGGATAATATTTTCCTGTCGGCGCCACCCGCGTTCCGTTCCAATTAATATTTGATAATTTCTTCAGAACGATACGAAGTCGTTTTAAATGTCGAAGCGTAGATGATTAGGGTTAAAATTGATACGCCGAGAAATGAATGGATATTCTTCTCCGCCTATGAATGTCCCTCAAAATAATACAATTTTTCGATTATGCGCTATGCAGTCTGATATGAGAGAAATTGTATCCGGACAGGGGCGTTTCCGTCTACACTTCACCGAATTCCAGCTGTCAGTGGTACACGGGTGGACTTCGGTTTATTGTCCCATCCTTGCAAGACCATCCACCCTACACCACTCACAAGTGGAAACCGTGCTGGAAAATCTCGATGACTAACACTGGGACCTCCTGGTTATTGAGCAATCGCTGTACCCACTGACACTGATTCATCTCTATAACAAACGGTACTACTTATCATTTATCACATAGTTAACAATAATACATCGTCCGACCAACTCCGTTATTAACGTCTTCTATGCATTTGGTACCGCATTGTTTTGTTTTTATATACATGTAAGGGAAGAAAAAACACAAAGAAGTATTTCCGTATGGCTGCCTATTATTAGATCTGACGCGGAAAGGGAACATTTCTTTAAAGTAGATATCTGCAATCTACATGACGAGCTCTGTGAAAACGTTTTCTTGTAATAAATAATGGTAAAATATATCTAATTTTTAATCATTTTGTTAATATACAGTTTAATGAAATTATGAAATCTAGAAAAAAGACTATTTTAATTTCAGTGTACATGTAAATTTTGTTTTATTCCCAAAGATACAAATTATCTCATGGGTACCCTTATCTTTCCTGTGCTTAGATCCTCTAGAAGTCTTAATACAGTCTCGTAGCCTTCACTCGTTAGTAATTTACCCTAAACCTGATATTCTCTGTTGTATCAATATATATATATATATATATAAAGGGCAAATTATATAGAACAGAATGCCCCCCTAATAATGCAATTTTTCGATTTTGCTACGTTTTGCGTCTCGTTTAGTTACTGTCAAAATATTTATAACCGGAGAAGATTTGGAACAAAACGATACATAACTTCGAAGAGATGAATAGGGTATAGGTATTCATACACAACTCTTTGTTGGTGATCATCTATGTGCGATTCAAAGTCAAAGGTAGATTTTGGGTTGTATTGTCTAAGCCATTATTAGACGTAACCAGAGCGTATTTATGGGTACGGTCTAGTTAAAGATACATTATGGGAGATATTTATAGAGAGTTGGTCATTCTTGCTATAACAGTTCAAAAGTAGATGATGAAAGAAGAATATATTGAAAAATTCAGTCAAATTACTTTATTCTGAACATAGTTATCATCGTTGTAATATTTGCCTAGAAATGGTAGCGAAATGTGTCTTCACCGTCGCCGAACGTTTGATTGACAGGCGTTAACTCCACCTATATATCTCGATTATCAAGTAAAGTTTTTAATGGCATACGGAAACGCTTTACAGCGGGCTCGCTAAGTACACTCTATCATTTAGCCTCGATCTAACTGACGTATTTCATCAGGTTACCCCTTATCTGATTTAATCAATTAGTGAAATCATATTTAAATCCGAGCTGTTGGTCTTGTTGTTTAAATAAAAATCTAATTTATAATTTCTATAACATCTGAAGCCTAAATTAAGACTTGCAATAATCAGATTTAGCTCTTGCATAATGCATGTTTAATAATATTGTAGCTTGATATTATATTTATGAAATATTTACGAGGTATGTTTCCATAGTTAGTGTATCAAATTCAATTTTTTGAAATTTGATTCGCGCGTTTACTTAAAGGGACAATAACACACTTGCTGGCTTGACAGCTCCAGAAACGAAAAAAATAGCCTTATTCTAAGCACTAGATGTGTTAGTGTCCTACCTGTTGTGTAAATTATCCATTAAATCCTATTTTACTTGTCCAGAGGGTTCAAAAATATTTTTAAATCCAAGTCGATCACATTTGAAAAACTTTACGTCAGGCTTTACAAATCATTTAGTTGAATTTTTCCATTTTTTTTAAATTAGGTGTGTTAAGATGAAATTTGTATCATCAATTAATTGGAATATTGTAAAATAGTGCAATTTGTTGACCAGAATAAAGATTGGGACATATTATTCAGTTATAACAAGAGTGGTATTGAGCCTTTAAACCAACGAAAATCTGAATCGCCTTATGCTTAACAGAACTCCTCAGTGTAGGTTATTCATATTTGCGCAAGCCTATAAAGTATGCAACAACGCTATTTATATGTACCTATGTTATGAAGCTTACATCATGTGCATGTAGCATGCGCATATAGCAAAATAAACAATCATGGGTCCATCATTTCGTATCAAAATGTCGAGACTGTGGACTGTGGACCCGATAAGAATATTTACATAAAAATGTTGGATTCCACATAAAAATAGTTTCTATGGTAACGGGTCAGGCGAGTTGGGCACGACTGGTCGATGGTAGAAGTGTACAGTGGCAAAACGACCGCACAGCCAAGTATCGTGTCAGACTAAACTATGGCCGCGATGTGAGCACTTTGTTCGGCTTATTCATTCATACAGAGTATAACTTATTCTTTATTGATCCAATATGGGTGAGTAGCCACTTTTATATCAGATCATATGTATACCCTAATTATTGACATATATATACACGTGTACACACTGTAGTGGATTTATATTGCAGTGTAAATGTAGGCTATCGGGACACAGTAGTTTTACTGTTCAAGTTCATATCCTAATGTTTCACCAATGTGGCTTACTTTTCGCTTGTTTCCTTTCTGTCATGTACAGTAATTACCATTATCAACAAAGCCATGTAACGGTATAGGCCAAATGTCATTTCCGCCAATCTTGTAAAATAAAGACAGTCAAATACGTTAGGAAATATATTTTATTTTCAAACCAATGTGGACCATGCTTGATTTCTTATATGACTATCCCGACAGTCTTGTAAAATAAAGATAGTGAAATACGTTGGAAAATATAATATTTCATTTGTAACCCGTGCAGACCATGCTTGATTTTTTTACAACACATTTCTATGACTAATCCAAACGCCAATTTCCAGTTTTGTTCTATGTCGAATTGGGTTTTGACTTCTATTTTTTCTAAATTTAAGAAGGGCAAACTCGACACATGGCTTCGCCATGTTGTCATGTAAACAACACTGCACATAAAAAAAAGAGTTACATGAACGTCTGGTACCACCCCCAGCATACCCTAGGATAGGTGTTTCTTTCCAAACATTTCGGGGTGTTCAACTTATGTATTTTAAACAGTAGGACTACTTCTGTTTTATGTGTGTGAAATAGCTATATTTACCGCCCGCTTCCACTGAGGTGATATCGCAGACAATTACATGTTATAGATATATGATAAATATGTTTTATCTATTAATGCACCTTTTAATCGTGGTCTATAGTATTTTATTTGCTTCAATGATTTGTATTACTTCAAAGTATTAGATTGTTTTTGGTAACATAACAATATGGTCCTTTATATGATTTAGTGTATCCGTATCGGTGTCACGGTTTGGATCATGGTGTTTATTTTATAATAACCGATACATGATTTATCCCGTTATTTCAATTTGATTTTTTTTACGCAACCCCGTCTTCATTAGCCCAATCGGAGCAGAACAGTGAGACGTTAAACCCCATTTCATTTCATTGCTTTACACGACCCTCTATAATGTTTCGGTTCATCGAAGAATACACCCTTCAATCTTTAATGACAAATTCAATAGAGATTACACAGGACGGTCTCTAGGGAATAATGTACATGTAGTCCAATTTTATAAACCAAATGTAGTAACTATCTTGTATATTATGATTTGATACTCGTGTATACATGTACTGCCGTTATAATAATAACATACGGTTTTTTCTACGAAAAGACACTCATATCGCATTACAGTTTCGTACGGTTTACTGTATAATAAAAAGTATGTCAATAAATATAAAACAATAAGTATAGCATATTTGAGATTTCAATCAATATTTACATGTCCGTTAGATATCAGTTTTTGTTAAAGGGGCATTAGGTAAGATTAGATAAAGAGGTGCCAGTTCCCGCTATAATAATTAAGAAACAGATAATGAAAACAGAATATGCTGAAAATTTCAAATTGCTTCAGCGATTCCATTTTAGGTTAGCCTCGATCGTCATTATTGCCGTTGATACGATAATAAACAAAGTCTTGATTATCCATTTGTATACATAGAAATGTGACGTAATATTGCCGTCATCCCTGTCCGTCTGTCTGTCGGTCCGCCCATTAATTACTTCTAGAGTTATAGCCCTTGTTTCACGTTCTAACGTCAGAAGTTATCTGCCGATCTGTATGAAATTTATATGCGTCATTTGAATTAGTAAAATAGAATCATATCGAATTTCAGAAATATCCGTTTGTTACGGCTCTTGTTTCACTTTGTTGAACCTTGTGAACGCTCTAACGCCAAAAGTTATGATCCGATCTTTGTGAAATTTATATGCATTATCTAAATTAGTGGAACGAAGAAGCCTATTAAATTTCAACATTTTCTGTGTATGGCCCTTGTTTCACTATGTTGAACCTTGTGAACGCTTTAACGCCAAAAGGTATCATCCGATCTGTATGAAATTTATATGCATCATTTAGATTAGTCAAACGACGAAACCCTTATAATCTGATCTGTATGAAATTGTTCCCAATTACCTACAAAAGAATACATATGCGACAACCCTTGTCGACCGCGCGGACGATTTACCTGCTGTAGGCGGATGTTTCGTTGCCTGGCAACATATCTTTACGTTAAATTATCCTTCATAAAAGGTATTCAGTCCACTAAATATCGTAGTCTAACGATTGCATCGAGGGTTGATTATGATCTTGATACGTTAATTAATGTCTTATTAATAATTTAGATAACATTTAAGGCCTAGAAATTAGTTTGAAATGCAAATACAGATCACTAATGTAAAATAAAACCCAACCTTGCATCAACTACATTTCTCTGAAATAGACTAGAAAATCATTTACTTCATGAGGCAAGAATTTAATTTAATTTAGTTACAAGCTACCAACATTTAATTATTGCTCTAATTATCTAGTTATCCCTGCCCCTTTCTCTACTCGTGTTTTGACCCCCTTACACAAAGGTTTCTTAATGCTAGGTTCCCACTGCCGTGCGATGCGTTACGATAGGATTGTCCCTACTAGAGACTTTTGGCAAGCGGAATTTTTCCCATCCGTATCACGTATCCATATCGTATACGTGATACGTTGCGTCAGTACGTATGCATCGCTGAGCTGAGCTTAGTTCTATTACAGCATGATAATGGCAGATATCTACCAAGATCACCATCAGTACTAGTCAAGTGCCTGGCCTACACTTTCCCGGAGGGAGTGAAGCCGCTCGACAGTCGCTAAGCTATAAAAAAAAAAAAAAAATTAATGTTGAATCTTATTAAAAATCTTCGACTTTTTGGTTTCACTAATGTATCATTTCAAAATGTTTATACCCCTTTACCATAGAATAAAATCATTTAGCACGTAAATCAACCGGAATGCAGTATAACCCATCAAAAATAATGATTAAATTCCAGTCGTTATCATGGTTAAAATCACATCAAATATACACCTTCGTGTTCTAGGATACACATAGATTCATAAAGACGCTATATGATACATTTGAGCGTCTAAAAGTAGCAAAAAAGACGGTAAAAAGACAACAATGTTATACGGACCATTTCCCTATTAGTAAGTGCAGGGGGGGCTGCACCACACACATTTTACACAAAAACAAATACACGGACAAGACATCATACTCAGGAAAACACAAACAGACAGACAATTCTATCCGTGTGCCGTATAAAACATCGATTTCAATCGTGATATTGGGAACCTAGCATTATAAAGCTATTGCCGTAGTCATTTTGAATTATAAGGAATTTAGTGGTATTAACCGTCTCAATGCTCTCACCATCTCTTTTACGTCAGAAAAAACCCCCATTGTAATCTAAAAAATATAGTGTATCAAATTTAATAGGTCGCATTTAATAAAACACACACTTGACACATTTGTCAAAATATAAAAGGTGACAAGTTTAAATACACAAACTGATATCAAAGACATTAACTGGTTTTATAAATTTTAAAGTATAGTAATGCGTATGGGACACTTATTGATCTACTCATGATGCTTACGTCAAAATTATTTTCATTAAATAGGAGTTTTATTTCCCCTCATACGTATTCGATATCTATAAATTATAATTTTACCATTTGTGTGGCTACTACCACAACATGTCATATACAACATGTCATTATAAGGAAATGAGAACTGACCTATCACTAAGATTAACTGCTTTTTAATATTTCATGTAATCAAAATTTAAATAACTGAATATTATAGCGTATTCTATATTTGCATAAAATATTTTATTGTTTACACACACATTTAAAATGCCCGACATCCTTTCAGGTGTTACTATGCACTAATATGTTGTGTTAACTGATAAGACTGTTTTATTGTATTCAATGGCACTTTAGTCCAGGGTAGGCAATCGTAGCGAGTCAAATAATTTTGGGAAAATGTTTTTGATATCTCTGAGAGTAAAAGGAAAAAAAACGACCAAGTAGACTATTTGTTAAATGTTACATTCTTATTTGCGTTTGAAGAGTTCGCGCAATATGATCGGGTTGGTGTCAGTGGCGTTGCTGATTATATCCTATATTGGCAAGTCAGTATAAATTTATATTTTAGATAAGTAAAGCAGAGGCGGATCCAAGGGGGAGGGGGGGCCCCCCCCCCCTAATTTTCGACAGTGCCCTTTTTTACTGCTGAAGGTGCCTTTTCTCAGACCCAAATATGTTCGTTCCAAAATGACTCAAACCATCGACTCAAACACACCAGTCTGGTCTGATTAATGCTTCCACTTTCAAACAAATTCTTGTTGTTTAGCTGACGTTGCCCTAATCCTATAGAGTGACTATAGACAGACATCAATGATAGCATCTTGTGGAAACGGCGGCGTATACACTCATGCCCATCACCGACGCGCATGAGTGCAACTTGATTTAACATTGTTTCATGTGTGGACAGTACACGGTACAAGTTACAAGGCTTAAATAGTGAAGTGGCTAGGTTATAGATTCGTCTTTTTTCCCATCATAATGCCTCGCTCGCCTTGACAATTTTCGAGTCGCATGTTCAACTAGCTTTTTTGCTCGATTTTAAGGCTCTTTTTCAACGATTTCCGAACGTTTACTTAGACGAAAATATCAGCCAAATAGCTCTTGGAATGGCTACAGATGCAAGGAAATGACGGATAGTTTTCTTGCCCCCCAACCCCCCTCTCAGCGGTGTGCCCCGTCTCCGCGGTCAGTGCCCCCATTTTGCCCCCCCCCCCTTTTCAAAATTCCTAGATCCGCCCCTGAGTAAAGGGTATGCTGATCATATCTACTTAAGTTTTACAACATTATATATGATATATTGGTGCGTCATTTCTTTATCTGGTTTCTCAGGTGTTGAAATTCGTTTGGTTGACATGCTGTAATAAGGCGGTATGTTCATCTGTACTGTTTAGGATGACAAAGGTGTCATCAACT